TTTAAAGTTTTATTTTCTGACGAGGTAACAGTAATAGCGTAAGATCAATCTGTTGTTTATGCATATATGAATTACTGCTTTTCTGAAAGGACTTGATTTACGGTACTTAAACACTATCCTAAGCCTATGCCAACTTACAATAGACACCCACCTTTCTTGCTATTGCTGTGACTATAATGATTTTTTCTTGAAAAAACTTAACAATTCTTTTTCTCTAATGATTTTTATTTAAGGACACTATAATCAATACATGCAACAGTGAGTAGTAATTATGTTCTACGAATTAAGTCGAAACCACACAAACAAGTTCAATCAATGAGATATAGATACCATACAAATTAACTATCCCAAGTTCACACATTGTATTTTAATAAATATTTCCTAGAGCTACTGTGTTGTGATATATAAATGTATAATATAAAGATGACTGAAATCGACCGAGTGTAAAAATGTCAAACGCTATTCTGAACAATAGGCCTGGAAATCTGTAAGCCGCTAATCAGACTCCCAGCCCATTATAGTCAAAACTTATTATATTTCGCATACATCAACGCCTACATTTACATGCGTCGAGTCAAAAGCACATAACGAACAAAACAGGAACTCGGGCAGGATTACCAGCTATGTATGATATACGCAAGGCAGAAAACAAATAATATACGCGTAAGCACGTCTATATAAATTGGCCTTACGACCTTCTAGGAACGTTGGGGTATTGGTATTGACCCTTCTCCTACGCAACACGAAAGAATCTTAAATTTCGAAATTGGAACATATATTTATTATGTTCGTTAAGCATGTTTATATATTTTCACTCTTTTCTAACTATAAAAATTTACTTATCAATGCAAGTTTAAGCATATCTGAACAGCCCGTGTTTTTTAAGTACAAGAGTATAATGCCATAAAAATCAAACATTTGTCTATCTGGGTAAATACTTCTAAGTTACTTTGACAAATAACGAGTTTCTATTCAAACCATTCCATTTCAAACATAGCTAAATTTCGAATTATTCTTGTAGGTTTTTCAAAATCTATATACCTATGATTGCTCGCGGTTCTTCCTGGGGCGCTAGACGTTATAAAAAATATGTCTTTGGCGCCTCTTAGTCCCCTCACAAATATTCATAAGATAGTTTTATGTAATAAGAAGGAGCCTAAACACTTGTTAAAAAAGTAATGTAGGTCTCAAGAAAAAAATGGCATATAACTTCATCCTCCGATAATTTTTTTTATCAAACTAACACGTAGACGCATTTGCGATCAAATTTCTTAATTGATAAGACATAATGCTCACTTTCCATTATTTTCTAGCTTACTGGCGGGATGTGAGCACCTGGCGCCACAGAAATCAGGTTTGAACGTGAGTGAACAACTACTACGGTCGACAAAACCCAAGTAACCAGATATATATATATAGGTTAAATTTATAAACCAGAAGTACATGTAAAATGAATAACACATTTTAGACTTAAGAAAAAGGCAAGTTTGGTGAAAATTAATCCACTAGTAGTTTCAAAAATGTACAAGTATTGAGGTATATCGAAAGACATACACTGTAAATCCAAGTGGAACGAACGAATGAATAACTAAAGGTACCCCGAAGGTATAAACCCTATTTGTGTGTTTCGAATTCCACAGCGCTTCACCAAACCCACATGCTCACCAAGGGGTGATAGCAGGCACTAAATGTATTGCATTACCATGGAATATTATTTGTGTTTAATTAAAAACTGACTAGCGGTTTTCTCTGTGTGCACTATATTACAAATTTAACTACTTGTTTAAATGTCATCCACTTTCTGTTCTCTTTATATTTTTTGTGAACCAATTAAGGTGCCTAGCAGAAAGCTGATCCCCGCCCCGATCTACATAGCAATGGACACTGGAGGCCAAGGTCATTTCGTTATAGGTAAGGTTTCCACCCATAATCAATACAAATGAATTTTTGTACAGCAGAGCTAAAGTACCATTATTCGGTGTAAACTTCGACCTTCATCTACATTTACCAAAAACATAGCTTTTTTGTTGTTGATTGCGGTGGGGGGAGGTTAATATCAATATTTTTAAACAAATTTGGTCTAGATTTTTAGCTTTTGAAATGGCATATCTTACGAAGTAACAAGGCGCGCAGTCCATAACCTTTGATCAACATTAACCAGACAACGCTAAAATAAGGGGTTCGATTCCCCTCGGTGGACACAGCAGATAGCCCGATGTGGCTTTGCTATAAGAAAACACACACACACATTAACCAGAATCGAGTTGCTGACTTTAAAGTTTTGCATAGCTTCAAACATGCCACTATCCAAATTCCATCGAGTAAAGAAAATAAACTTAGTAAAGATGTAGATTAATTTTGTTTACATGTTTCGCTCAAAGCTTCACAACGGCTGTCTCCTCAGAGCCGTTCCTGGATTTGAACTAATATGATAGAAGTAAGGCAACTAGCCAACAGCACCCATCGATACTCTTATCTGACAGATAGCGGGTTTGACTGTCACTTTTATTTTTGACGGCAACAGAACACGAACCACGAACCTTTGAATTCACATTCCTGGCACGCTTGAATCCGTGTAGACCTAATTTATTGGCTTTATTCACTAGAGAATTCAATTTAATTTTTCATCAATAAAACTGAATAATAATATTAATAAACACAAAATGATATAAAAATAGGTTTTATGCTTTGATATACAATCTCAGTCAATATCTTCAACTATGTGAAGTTATTTCTTCGGGATATGTTTGGCCGAGAGACGAAAATCACAATTCTCGTGACCGCAGCGTTTACCAAAATTGGATGACCCACAAACTTTCACACACTCACAAACCCACAAACAAAACTTGAGAAAACTCACTAACTCGGACGGTCACTGACATATGTTATACTTTAATGAGAAAATATTAAAAGGTGCCGTTTAAGACTCTTACAAGATTGGATTAACTCATTTAATTACTTCAAAAATAGTGTTAGAAATATAGCCACTTATTTAATGTAAGCCTAACCTTTAATCTATACTTGCTAAAAATAAGCAAATGGTAAACTATACATAAACGATTCTATCTTTAACCTCAAACGGACAGAGATTTCGAAACTAAACTTATTTTGTTATAGCCGCAGATAAAACATACAAAGCCATTAGAAGAACGAGAGAAAGATCAAACAATGAATAAACAGAGAGAATAAAAAATAATAGCTTGAGCGAGTACACTAGCCAAATTGATAGGGAGTGTCTGAAGAGCATATAAGCTAAAGAAATAGCATATCAATGAGAAAGACACCACACAGAAAAATTTTACAACAGTTACTGAAGATAAAAAATGGAGAACTGGTAACAAAAGAATGACAGAAAGATATTACATTTATGTTTATCTCGCCAGTATTGGAGATACACAAACACACACACATAAAGTAAAAACTTCATCTTGTTTTGTTTCGGCTCATTCCCTTGGGTTAGATAAACTTAAGAATATATATACACTTCGACAACAATCCAGGGGGAAATCAAAACATAAGACGAAGGTCAAGTCTTATTTGAAATATTGAAAATGATTTTGTAATGAACACACTTGACAACGTATAAAAACAAAAATGAAACTAACACACAAGTCTTAAGGGACGTTCCTGAAACGTAATTGATATTAAAATTATATTTAAAGATTTTATAAGACTTTTCTGCATAATTATTCATCTAAATATGATCTTTCCTAGATTTACTCTTTTAGGCATTGTAAGGTCAATTCATATGTCGTTCTTATTTGGAACTTCTAGCGATAATCTCATCTGTCATGAAAGTTTATTTTCTTGTATACAGCATACTGTCTGAACTTTAAACTTCGCGAGACCTGGTTTCGGGTTTCAATTTCAGTATTAATTATTGTTTGTTTTTCATATCAATGCTAATATAACCTTACGAACAAAATTACGCTGTAGTGTTAAATATATATATATATATACAAAACTAAAACACACACATTCAAGTCTCCACCTGTGGATACAAATAACAAAACAATTTTGTTATATATATAAATTAGCGAGTAAACTCAAGAAATGACTCGAGTGATAAAACTGAAAAACACAGAATACTTTGCTTGATAATATTCTAATAACCTAGAGTGTAGTATCAAATACACATTTCACAAATAACACAGAATCTTGAACATATCAAAACATGAATACGGTTAGCATACTGATTATTTATCGATATGCAGTTTCACAGAATTTTTCCATAAGAAATTACAACGTTATAATCTTGTGAAGATAAAGAAATACGCCCTCTATTTAAATGTACGAGAAATATTATACCAAAAAATATTGGATGGTATAAGCCTATCTTAAATTTACATTAATACATTGCTTGACTAAAATCATGGTCAACATATTGTATGAAGAATTGAATAAAAACAAATAAAAAATTGCCATTGCAACAATATAGGTTTTGGTCTTGTTTTAAGAAATATGCTACGATCCTAAGATACCTAATAAAACGTTCTTAAAGTGTACATGATGTTTCATTCGTATAAAAGCTGTCCATAGGTTTTTCTTTTTTTTATTCAAGTAACTTTTAGAGCGGAGTTGCGATGTATCCATAAAATAACTTAAACCCAATCAAAACCTATGAAACATTACTTTCCTGGAAAACATTGCCTAAAATGCTAAATATAAGTATTGTGCAATGACATTGGAAAAGGCATTACGGTTTATAAATAAAGAGCGATTACAAAATAACTTACTCTGTTGTTAAATAAACATTTTAAATTAGATGTGGAAAAGTTCTAAGTTTGATACAGTAATAAAAATCAATAATAATAAAAAAATGTGAAGGTAAAAATGACAAATTAGTTTGAATGTAACACATAAGCGAAACACGTGAATTTAACCTACTCGATATAACCAGATAAACAGACAGATGCATAAAAGAGAATAATGTTATTAATTTATATTAAAACTGGCCCAAGTTCTTGTGGATATAAGAATTTCAAAGTGCGCGCACTTACCACTGGCGTAAAAGACGAAAACTGTAACCAGCATCAAACAACCCCAAAGCCTGTGCCGTCTCATCTCGTTTCAGGACCTGACAACGATTGTTCGTCGCCCGCTCCTCAGCAGGGAATAGCTGTACGCTGTTCGGTTCCTCCAATTTTCCCGCCAAGAAAGGTCTAGCCGTTGTGACCCTGAGTGAGGAATACGGGATAAATAATCTACCGACCGTGCACACTTGAAGCTCAACCAGATGGGTTGTTTCAACCAAACAATACGATGTGACTGTTAAGCCTAGTTATGGGGTGTTGCATCTTTAGGAAGGGTTTAGAACAAGACTACCTTGCAGTAACTTAGTTACGTGTGTGTGTAGTTATGGGCAAACACGCGTGCATCCTTTTAACTCTAACCGCCTTCATGAATTTGTAAAAAAAATATATAGGTTTAGGTCTAAAGTCTAATAAGCTAGCGCAGTGTGTAAAACGTCAATATGTGCATCAGCAAGACGTGCCTGAGTGTGAAGGACTTCACGGCCCACTTAGATTCATATTCCTTATTAGGCCACCCGGCTTGCCCGAAAGTGAGGACTCAAGGAGAAGCCAAGAGCAAACGCACATGAGCGTTCACACCCCAACCAAACCACGTCGTGATTATAAACTCAAACAGCTGGAACCCTGGGGTATTATATACACAGAGACACGTGCTGCTGCTTACAGAACACACTACAAAAACAAGACTGCGCTGACTAAGGCGTGCAAAAGAAGGTAAACTCTTTCGTCAATGTAAGGAAAAAAAAAACTTAGAAGAAAGAAGCACAGTTCGAGGTAGTTCTGAACATAAAAGTTGATGAAATTCACTATATCTCTATAAGAGATCCGCCAAATATAAATATACATAGAGAATATAAAGTGGAAGACAGTTGCATATGGAACACACACTAGGTGGAGCTCATGTCGGAGACCCTAGAAATCGGTTGGGTATTCTATGTTTTTACGGTAACCGTGCCTGGCATGGCCTGGTGGCTAGGGCGTTCGACTCGCAATCTGTGGGTCGTTGGTTCGAATCCCCGTCATAGAACATGCTCGCCCTTTCAGCCTTGGAGGCGTTATAATGTGATTGTCAATCCCGTTATTCGTTGGTAAAAGAGTAGCCCAATAGTTGCCGGTGGATGGTGTTGACTAGTTGCCCTCCCTCTAATTTATCACTGCTAACCTAAAAAAGGGCTAGCGCAGATAGCTCTCGAATATATCTGCGTGAAATTCAAAACAAACCAAATCAATTTACAGTAACTTTAGGCGCTGTGATAATAAGAGAAAAACAAAAAACGCCACTACCAGTAGGTATCCGTTCTTGCGCCGTTTCTACAATTTAAAATCCAATCTAAAAACAACCATAAACAAATACCAAGACTATCACGTAACCATGGCTTCAGCGTATTTTAAAAGATAGGTTTGTCCTATCTTCGAATACTAATCATGCGCACATTATTGAAAAGTTAGTATTTGTAATTCTTTGGATAAGTGCTTCTTACTTCTTTCTTACCCGGACACCTTGTTAATGACACACAGTTCCTTCGGCGGCCCATCTAACGTGTCCCCAAGAAACTGAAGGAGCTATTATCGTACATTCTGGTTCATCCGTCTAATGGGAAGAGCACTATTGGTAAGGGTTGTCACTAAGGAAACACCAGGCGCTCTTCACAAATAGCTGACGTGTGGCATATAAAATATGATAAGAATTGCCAAAAATACTCCTTCTTCAAACATGTATCTTGTAACTTTCAACATGTGTTTGTATATTCATTAAAATACATCTTACGAGACGGAGGTTGGAAAAAGTTGGATCACAAAGCACAAACAAAAAACATAAAACTCTTCTAAATAAAACAAATGATCTTCACTATGCTTCTGGCGAAATTTAGTTTCCATAAAATAAGTAGTTTTTAATATATCATGAACCATGATAGTGGTTCCTTCATTCTTTTCATATCATAATAGGGATCGCAAGGAATTGAACAAAACTCCAATAGAACGTTCGGGCAAAAAGCACTTTAAACAGTAAAGATTCAGTTCAAAAAACACTTTAAAACCTTTACTATTGGTTACTAAGGCTATACACATATAAAAATGCACAAAAAGCGCACATGCTAGACTTCCAAGGAAAAGAAAATCCGTTCAAACGGCTCCTTTGGAATTCTTTTATTATTATTATTATTATTCTCTTGCTAGTCTACAACAGAAATGGCTTGATATATTGCACCAAAACCTTTTGTAGGTTACTAAATAAGGTACTGCGAAGGTTGTGGGGGTGTTGAAAAGTCGATTTGTTTCACATAAGCTAAAAAGCATCATAATTGTAGTGTAAACCTCTTGGAGTTAGCGTTTTTACAGAAATATGGTGTTCCTTTAAACAGCTCAACTACAGGGTGAAACAGGAATTACCAGTCAATAACAGATGAAAATTAGATGACTGTAACGTGTAGATACTCAATGCTTTGTACACTATACAATCGTTGTCTTTGGGGAGCCAACCCCTATATGAAGTGAAGGAATAAAAAAAAAATCAATACACATAACATTAAATTTTATTACACACATTCGTTGAATAATTACTTTAAAAGACATTAAGGTTTATTTAAAGTGATGTTTTATACGTATATGTTTTATTCGAAAAGCCTGCTTTTGTATTGGTAAACTTTTATACGCGCTTGGTAGGGATTGTGTCTCAGTCTAGGCGTATATTTGTCCATTCCTATGCATTATATGTCGAGAATTTAATTACACTACTATATTCTCAAACAAGTCTCCATGACAACCTCCAGCTGCAGCTTAACATTTTACATCTTGAACTAATGCGATCAAATAGCTACTAGCTATGTTTAATAGCATTACAGCGTATAAAGTTAAGTATCATATCTAGTAATCCTTTGCCCGTAGTTGAGCATACAAAAGTCAGTAATCAAGATAAGTAAAAAATTGGGAACTTAAAATCTTCAAATAGGGATCGTATAAAAAGTAAGGAAACGAGGCTGAAGATACTACAGACATTATTTACTCAAACTACAAATCCCTAATTTAACTCCATCAAATGAAATTCTAGGTAACAGCAGGGAGCCAAAATAAGGGTTTGTAGACAGAGTAAATAATGTCTCCAGT